GAGCGTCCTTAATTTTCAGGGGTGGAGAAACTTATAAATATATGGGTAGAGATTTTATAGATATCTCGGGATCCTGGCAGCTCCCCATAGTGGGGTTCGAGGGGCAGCGCCCCTGCGAGGGTTTTCGGGAGGCACTGCCTTGGAACAAATTTTGATTGTAAGTTTATTTTTTAATTTTATTTACTATTTCTCTTTGTATTTGGTTCATCATTTCCTAATAATAACACCACTACACAACGTGTTTAATTATGCTGGTGCCTAAAGACCATAATATTTTAAAACTTTTAGTGAGGGCAATTGCTTAAAAACCCTTGTAATAAAGAGTAAAAAATTGACGACGTAGGACATTTACCTAAAAAAGTATATAATAAAAAAATTATTTTTTTAGGGGGGGCAATTACCCCCTATGGGCTTTAGGTAGATCAGATCCGCCCTTACGTGTGGAAGAAAAAAGATCCAATCAAACTATCCAAGAAAAAAGGAAAAAAAAAAACAAATTGGAAGTTAAGGGTCAGACAAAATCAACCACCAAAAGGTGGGATTAAGAGGACTCAAAATGCTCTAGAAAGCGATAACCACCAGCAAGCAAGAAGAGCATCAAGTCTCCTGGTTGTCGAGGAATACCATCCAAGAAGAAGCTGGTAAGCACCAGCATTAATCATCATCCACCCAAAAAAACCTCTGGCTCGACACTGAAGAGCATATGCAACACCCCGATAGCCACACAGGACCCTCCACAAGGCATCCATAAAATGACCAGAGCAAAACAAAACTCCAAAAGGTCTAAAAAAATTTGAGAAGCAGTCAATATGGGCGAATCTAAAAAAGAACCCAAAAGGAGCTTAAAATTAGAGAAGCAAATGTTGAATGGAGTGGAAGCTTTTCCATTTTGAAGATTTAAATATAATGGCCCTCTTAATTTTTGCAGCAGTCGTAGCATAGCATTCAAAAGATTTTCCAAATAATCTGTCAATTCTAGCTCTCTAAATAAAGTAAATGATGGCGCAAGTCAGAAGGAAGTAAAGATTTTTTCATTGTTTACTGACATCCATTTCATCAATAAATGTAAAGATTTGGTTGAGGTTGGGTCGCAACAGCTGGCAACTCATTTGAAAAACTCTTCCATTTTTTTTTTTAAAAGCCTTTAGAATCCTTAAAAAAGCTATTTATTTAACTATTACTTTTTATATAGGATAAAAAATATGTTAAAATTATTCTTAATATATATTTGATTAGTACAGATTTCAAAGGTATTAGTTTACTTTAACATAGTTGTGATACGTTATTGAAAATCTCGATATATATTTAAATTTAAAAAGTTTAAAATTAAATTCAAGATCATCCTATTTTTAATTTCAATAAAATTATAGTCTACTGAATATCTCAACAAGACGAATCCTTCGAGCCTAAGATCTCTTAATCCTGACATTATTAAGAAACTTAAATGTTAAAGAAATAGTTTATGATCGTCGTTCGATGGAGTGTTTATGATTTTTGCTATATTTAAGAAACATATCACTCTAAAACATCTATAATGAACCGTCACTCTTAACATGTTGGATCTTGATCTTAGACTTGAGATTCAAAAAAGCTTAAAGGCTTTAAGAATCTTGGAGTTTGAATTAAGCACCACTGTAGAGCCGTTATTTGATCGCCATCGTTGCAACACTATTACTCGACAAAATTCCTCTAACCACTATCCTTCGACCATTATCACATGACTACAGTCATCTGACCACTATTTCTTAATCACGGTCCTCTCACAACCACTATCTAATTAGGATATTCACAACAAGCATCTCTCGACTTTGGCCCTTTGACCATTGTTGCCCGACTATGATCTACTGACCACCATCACTCAACAATGGTCTTTCGGCCACTGTCACCCGATCACGGTCCTCATACTACCATCACTCGATTACAATCATCCGACCATTATTGCTTGACTACATCCTTTGAGTAGCATTGCTCGTTACAGCCTTCCGACCACTGAAACCCAACTATGATTCTCAACCATGGTCCCCCGACTACTGCCTTTCAACCACCATCTCCTGATTACTATCATTCGACTTCTGTCTCTGTATTACAGTCTTTTGACCATCATCACCCAATTATGGTCATTCGACCTTCATTGCCCTACTATGATTCTCCATTGCTGGACTACGGTCCTTTGACTTCAATCACCCGACTATTGTCCTCCAACCATCGATATAGACTACGACCCTCCAATTTATTGTCACCCAAAGATGGTCCTCCGACCTTCATCGCTCAGCTACAATCCTACTCTCATTTAATAATTGTTACATGTTTACACCGATATCTACTAATTTTATCACCTATAATTTCTAATCATGTCAATGCATGATGTCATTCATAAGATTGATGTATGATATAAACATTAAATACAATTTTCGGTGCTGGCAATATAATTTATACTGTGCTTTTTGTTCTTTGGTCTACTTTTCTCAAAGAAATTAACACATGATCTATTAAAGACATGTCCTATGCCTTCTATCGAGGAAAAACATAATTTGTAATCGATGATCAATACTAGTAAAATCATTTTATAGGACTAAGCCTTATGATTTTTCCCTTTCCTAAATTTTTTGTGTAAAAAGTTTGATGTCTCTTATAATTATTGCTCTCAACTCTTGTCTGTGTGTGCTGTATCTTCGTGCAAATGGTTAGACAACAAACTCTCATCTCTCTATAATCATAAATTTTCTAGCATGCAATAAGATACAATACATTATAACAATCTCAAAGCAAATTTAAAGACTTTAAAGATCATCATATTTAATTTTTTTTTTTGATTAAGACATCCTAAAAAAAAAAAAAAATCTATTAAATAAAAGTTTCTATGGTCTTTCATTATTACAATTAGGGGTATAGATTTATGTTAAAAGATTCATATTTGGGATGACTAGAACATAAATGGTTTATCAAATTGACAAAGAATTCAACTTGATCCTAACACAGGTGGGAATCAAATATGAACTGATTTGATAAAAGTTATAGTAGAGAAATATCAGGATGGTCGTCTGATTGCTCCAATAAGTAAAGATTTCACTCTCACTTGAGAGGGTGTATATTTTAAATCATATATTTACTAACGTTTCACTTATATTTCCAAAAAAAAAATGGTAATGTACAAATCAACTCAAGAAAATGAACTATATGGCACTATTTGTTATCACACATGGCCTACTTATTTTTTTATGGGAATATTTTGGCCAATTAAGATATACTCACACATAAATCACGTGTAGAACTCGAACCAAAGCTCCCAACCAGTAAGCCAAAATGAGTCACGTAAATGGCCTATCAGAATTATTTACTACATTTGTGATGCAATTAGAGTTTCCAAATATTTATACTGAGTCAGATCACATGAGAATAAGACATATGCAATAAGAATAAAGAGTTGTTCACAAAGACAAGGGTAAGGGTGGATTAGGGGTGAAAACGAGTCGAGTCGGGGGAGTGTTCGAGTCGAGCCTAGCTGTCGAGAACCGAGCTCGAGCTCGAGCTCGAGCTCGAGCTCGAGCACGAGCTCGAACTCGAGTCGAGCTCAAAAGTCAAGCTTGAGCTCGACTCGACAGGAAAAAAGCGAGCTCGTCGAGCTCTCGTCACGGGAGATCGAGCCGTTTCACCAGCGTCGAACGACATCGCCGTCCGTCCAACCCCATCACTCGACTGTCGCCTTTGTCCATCACACACATCGCAGATCCGATTCCGCCCAACCCCATGCCGTCATCGAGTTCCGCTTCCGCTTCCGTTGTCCATCGCAGACGTCGTCGTCCGTCCAACGCCGTCTTGAGACTCTCGCCGTTGTCCGTCGCAGACGTCGAAGATGTCGTTCTCGCAATGCTGTCGTCCGCTTCCATTGTCCATCGCAGAGATCCAGAGAAGCAGACGTCGTAGATGCCGTCGTCGACTCGTCGCCAAGCGTAACAACGTCGCAAATCGATTCTCTAATTGGATTTTCCCGCTCACGGTTTGGATTTCTCGCTCACAGTTTGGATTTCCCCGCTCGTAAATTGGATTTTCCGCCCGCTAGCTCCGCCGAGCTGCTCGTCGAGTGGACAAGTCGAGTCCGACGTCTGTTCGAGCTTGAGCTCGATAAGCGTTCGAGCTCGAAACTGTGTTCCAGCTCGACTTGCGAGCTCAATAAGCTCGACTCGTCGAGCCGATTACCGAGTCGAGTTCGAGCCGGCTTGACTCGGTTGCACCCTTATGGTGGATTGTCAATTTGAGAGAGAGAGAGAGAGAAGAAGAAGAAGAAGAATATTTTTCAAGAATGAACCTCTATTCAATATTCTTATCAGCACCTCCTTGTACTGGTTGACCAGTTATAATGGTTTCTCATCAACTTTGTTTTAAAGTTCATTCCTCTTAATAGATGTGTTGATCAAATTGAAATTCAGGAATTCATCAAGATAAGGACTGGTTTGGGACAACTTTAGACTGCTATTTTTTTCTTGCTTTTAAGAGATTTTGGTACTAAGAAAAAGCTTTACGAAAGAGTAAGAAATTAACCCGTCCCAAACGAAACCTAAATTTAAGGAAGCTTTGTATAAATGGAATCATAGTGATTATTACGTAATAATAGTTTAAGTAAATTTAAATTGTTAAGAGTAGGTGTGCAAGTGCAATTAAATGTTTATGATTTCCAATCTTTCAATACATTTCTAATTATAATATAATGGGGATTTATGCATCTAACATATAAATTTTATAATTTATTTATATTATACCTAAAACTTTAAATTACATCAAAAATATTATAGATATAAACTTTTTAAAAGTAAAATACCTCTTTTTATGCATAAAATTTTATATTAAATAAGTGAATATTAAATTAGTTAATAAATATATAAAATTTATGTGATATATCTCCAATTATAATAATTTAAACGAAAGTAAGGCCCAGCCCTATTAAGAAGGCCTAGCCCGTTTCTAGTACTACGGTCCACAAACTTTTTCCAATTTCTTGGTTCCGTGATTCCGTCTCGCGGCTCTGCAGCACTTCAAAACACCTCTCTCTCTCTCTCTCTCTCTCCATCCATGGATCTGTCTGCCTTCTCCTACCAAAAGTTCGTCCAGTTTGCTTTGGAAGAGACCCAACGCCGGACAACTCTCAGCCCTCGTCCCATCCAGGTCTCTCCCTCCCGTCGCTCATCGTCAATTTTTTGTTTTTTAAAGCTCTGCTCTTTTTCCTTATGAAATATGAAATTTGCATGTACTTGACTTACTGTTTTAGTAAAACACTCTCTAAGGTTTGCTGAGTTTGCTAAATGAGGTGAGAATTTCTGATAAAGTTGCTATCCCTGACTTCTTTTAGCTTCCTTGGCTTAAGTCATGGTAGGAACTTGGTGCGTCATTATAGTTTACGTTGCCGGCATAATTTATGTTCTTTTTGTTTTGTTCGTAGGTTAATCGGTTTTTTTTTTCCACGTTGTATTTTATGGAGAAAGCGCTGGTTTTCACCATATATTTGTTTCCTGTCTCACTGAAATTGGAAGCTAAACAGCTGTATTTGCAGTTGAAAACTAGGGCACAAAAGAATTCTAACTATCCGGGAAAGTGTTCGAGTTGCGTAGAGAAACTCTTAAAAGAATTCTAACTGAAAGGGGAAAGAAATTAGTGATTAACGCTTTTAATGTTAAGAGAAAAATGAAGAAGAAAAAGCTGTTGTGAGCCTTCAACACAGGAATTGGTCTAATGTACGCTACAATGTTTGTTTGATTTGGGGGAAACTTTAACAAATCAAAAAAAGAAATGATGTAGGAGTGGAAATTGATAGGATAAAAAAGATTTTTTGTTATTTTTTCTTGAGGCACAGACTTTGAATCTGCACTTTGAAAAGGAGAAGTGCCCCTCATCAGAAAATGTAGATCCTCACTGTTTCTCAATAGTGTTGCTGTTTACAGTAACTATTTGTAGTGTTTGGAGCATCATCAGATGTTTCTGCTTGGTTTATAGATGTTTCTCCAATGATTTCTTCTTTGTCATGTTGACAGGAGAACCTCAAATGTTTGAGGTCTAAAGATGGCAATGCTACACTTCATACACTCTCATTTAAAGCTCCCAAGATTAGGCATATTCGGAGTTTATCGATTGAAGGAGGTCCTTCCATGCAAGTAATTTTTTTTTTGTTTTAATATCTTCTTTAACTGAGTATTAAGTATTAACATCTTTTATGCATGCCACAAATGTTATTGATTTAGTTGAGGATGCTTATTTCACTCATACATTTCTTAAGAGTTGTACGGTATGGAACATTTTTTTAAAGATTTTGAAGTTTTCAAAGCATGTCTCTATAGAAAAGGTTCAGTACTTTGCTGACAGAAATGCTTACACCAGTAACCTTAGATTTGGATTGAAAAGTTGTTTAGTGGCTTCAACAAGCAAGAAAAGGGAGGCATAATTCAAGAGGTTTATGATTATTTAAATGATGATATGCGATTTAATGGCCAATCTCTAAAGCAAAAGCCTTTCTTGAGCCTGATTTTATTTCCAATTTTTCTGTACTACTCACACATGTAGAAAACCTTAAGAGGTGGGTAGAATTAAAATTAAACCTGTCTCCTTTATGAATATAAATAGCTCTAAGGCATTCAATCATTTGCAAGCTAGCAGTATGGGAACCCCTTTACCAATTTTGAATTTCGAAAGTACACAATAAAATGTCAAACATGCTTCAGGATTTCCTTTAAAAAAGATTGATTTAACTACTACATTATTGTCAAGATTTTTTCATTAATGTCAATTTACTTTAAGGGGCTGTTTGGTAACAGAATTTAAGCAGGATTTGGGCTATATTCTGCCAAATGCAAAAAACGCCATGTTAAATCTCACAGCTACTTTAAATCCACCGTTTCCTAGTTTTTGCTCTAAATCCTAGATTTACTAAATTTGAGAGTTCGACAGATTTAGAGGATTTATGAAGATGAAGAAGGGCGTGTAAGAACCGGGCTTGGCCGATTCGTTTGAACCGTCCCTAATCAAAACGCGAGTGAAACATAGGACAAAGCATGCGAGTCGAGCAAGCCGAGCATGAACGCGGGAGCAGCAGGCAGGACCGAACCTTGTGAATGAGCGAGGAATCATGTTCAAATGCGAAATGTAGTGACTTCTAATGTGAGACAACTTTGATTCGCTCACTCCTTTTGAATCACACAAATAGAAGAAGCCCTGAATTAGAGAAAAAAAAGGAGAGAGCAAGAGGGAGTTCTCAAACAAGTCGAAGGAGAAGAAGGTGGTCGAGGGTTTGAGTAGTGAACGAGAGAGACTGAGAGAGTGAGAATAGAAGCGAAGGAGAAGAATCAGCCGAGCGACGAGTGAGGGATCGAGCACCAAGCATAAAAAATGCAAGATAATTTATATATAAGGATTTATTATGTAAATAATAAATAAAACAAATAGAGGTTGTTGAAAATAAAGATTTAATCTAATACATAATTATTTGTTAAATTACTTATTTTAAAATTTATGGATTTTTTATAGAATAAATTATTAAATTCTCTTAATGAAGTTTATTCTAAATTTATACATGATAATAATTTTAAAAAGATCAATGTTTAAAATTTTATTAGTTTATTTTATATATATATATATATATATATATATATATATTGAGGATAGATATATTTGTATGCATATAAAGAGAAATTAATGTTATTATAATAAGCTGTATTTAAAAGAGTAACGAATTTGTGAGCTAATGATAAATTTTATAGAAAATGTGAGTACATTTTATTAGTAGAAACTTTATTTTAAAAATGAATAATAATTAAATTAGGATTTTTCTTTTAAAGTGAAAAGTTATAAAATATATAAAGTTTTAAAAAATTGATAACAATGAAATTTTGACTTTATCCATATTTAAATAATAAAACTAGGAGAAAAATATATAGAGAAAGGGCAATTTATGTAGTATAAAATAACAATAATAAAAAAATAGTATTTAATATTTTAGGGAGAGAAAATTTTAATATGAGAATTAAAGAATATTTCAAGTGAGAAATAAATAATAGAGTATGCATTTATATAAGTATTACATTGGCAATGATTAGAGTGGCGCCTAAAGTAAATTATTCAGATATTTGAATCAAGATGAGTACTCATGTTTATTTTATTTACAATAATGACTTTGTTTTCTCTTCAATTAAATGCTTTGAAAGATAACACTTGCTTACGAAGTCTTTATTATCAGTTGGAGCACGTTTTATCATTCTCGTTCTTAATGATTAATCATGTTGAGTCAAATGAAAATTAATATGTTATGTTTCACATTATCATATAAAGGTAATGAATGTTATAAGAATAAAATGGCTACATAAATATGCTTATATGTGTATATTGACTGATGGAACACACCACCTTATGGTACTAGCTGGAGATGCAATATACCCGTGTATGTAAATGGAAAAAGGTTATGAAAAAGGAAATGAAAATGAAAAAGGAATATCTTTATTGGTACTATTTTAAACGGTGGCTCTTATCACGGTTATATTATTTATGGAAAATGATAAATATATGGATAAATATATGATATATGCATAACATTGAAATTTTGAAATGAAATGATTAAATAAAATTATTTTATGTATTGAAATAATCATGCATATTGTTTAAAATACCTTGAATTACTATACTTTAGAAGCATGATTTACGCACTGAGTTCTTTTATGGCTCACTCCTAAATTTATAATGAATATGTATTATTCAAAGCTTAAAATGAGTAAAAAAGATGAAAATATATATCGTAGGCGAGGCGCTCCGAGTGAAATGTACTTATATCTTATATTTAAAAGAATTTTGAGGATTTAGTGGCTCTTTCAATTTGCTGGTGATATATTTAACAAATAAAAGTTAAATCAACCGTCCGACCGTCTCGTTAATTCGAGTCTCCGGGCCGAATTGTGACAAAAGTGGTATCAATACGCTAGGTTAGTATCTTAGGAATATGAATTCTCATGAAAGAGTCATATGAATGATTTATGAAATTATCCATGAAGAATTTAGAAATTCAATTAGATGGTATAATTAATTATGCCTTATATAAATATATCAGGTATGCGGATGATCAAGAGGAGGTATCTGATAGAAATATGGTTGGAGAAGAAGTACTAGCTGAAATGACTGTGAACACCGATACCCTTACCTAGATGATGACGGCTATGACCCAATAGCTTTAGGAATCAAGATCGTAGTCTGGAGTCGGAGTTAATAAATATCTGAAGTTATTCCAGGCCATGCAACATTCTCTATTCAAAGGTATTGAGAGACCAATTGAGACTGAAAATTGGTTGCTTGTATAAAGAAAATATTGGATAACATGTCATGTCCTAATGAAAGGGAAGCGCCGCTTGCTACATTTGTTTTGGATGGAGAAGCAAAAAGGTGGTAGTGAGGATAACGTGAAGATAGGCTAAAAGATTTTCCGAATTTACTAGTTAATTGAGAAGACTTTGTTGAACTTTTTAGAGAAGGGTTCGTACCTATGTCAGTAAGGAGGCAGATGCAGGACAAATTTATAAGACTGGTTCAAAGAGACAAATATGTGATGCAATACGAAGCAGAATTTATAACCTTATCTAGATATGCACCACAACTAATTGCAACAACAGAGAATAAATGTTATTAATTCCTATCTAGTCTAAGAGATGCATTTAGGCAACCTTTAGTACCTTTAGGAATCGAGGATTATTCAGTGTTGGTAGAAAGAGCTAGACGGGTGAAGATTGACTTTCAAATCACTCAGAGGAGAAGGGGTCAATATAAAAGGAAGAGTGTTGAAGAAAATATCCAAAGTAATCAGATTGAAGGATCAAATATGAAGCCTAAGTTTAGCCATAGTGGAGTTAGTAGTACTACTATGAGTACAGTCATGAAAGCTATTGCTAAGTATGACAAATTTCATAAGAGTGAATGTTTGATGGTTTCCAACACTTACTATTGGTATCGTCAGCCTGGACAGATTGCAAAATCTTGCTCTATATTGGTTCAGAGGACTTCAGGAGAGATAAGATCAAGTGAGGCACCTTCATAGAAGAACTTTATCAAACGGAAGATGATAGAATCAACATTTTCAGCTCCATCACAAAATCAATCAAAGCTGATTGTTTGATTGCAAGTTTATGCTTTAACCTAGCAAGAGCCTAATGAGTCAATAAATATTAATAAATATGAATGAGATATTTTTAATATAGTAACTTGTTATGTTATATAAGATGTTTTACTTTTTCCAGTTATCTTATTATGTTATAATGAAAATTTTGTTTTATTCAGTTATGTATTCAATGTTAAAGTTTATGTTGAGTGAAATTAAAGATGTTATTTTATTTAAGTGTCACGTATTTATGTTTGATTTAACTCATAAAAGTATACTATAACTAATAATTATAAGCTAATTTCGAGGACAAAATTTATAAGAATGGGAGATTGTAAAAATCAAGCTATGAACGACCTTAATCAAATTGTGGGAAAAATAGCGGACGAAGCAGGCAAGTCGAACGAGCCGAGCACGGACGCGAGAGCAGCTGGCAGGATCGGACCTTGCGAATGAACTAGGAATCACGTTCAAATGCGAAAATTAGAGAGAAAGAACAATTTAGGGATAGAAAATTTTAATATTAGAATTAAAGAATATTTCAAGTGAGAGATAAATTATATAGTATGCATTTATATAGGTATTATGTTGGGGATGATTGGAGTCGTGCCTTAAATAAATTATCGAGATATTCGAATCAAGGTGAGTACTCATGTTTCTTTTATTATAATAATGACTTTGTTTTCTCTTCATTTAAATCCTTTGAAAGATAATGCTGGCTTATGGAGTCTTTATGATTGATTAGATCATATTTTATCTTTCTCATACTCAATGATTGATCATGTTGAGGCAAATGAAAATTAATATATTATGTTTGACATTATCATATAAAGCTAATGAATGTTATAAGAATTAAATGGCTAGATAGATATGCTTGTATGTGTATGTTGATTGATGGACCACACCCCCTTATAGTACTGGCTATGGACGTAATGTACCCGTGCATTTAAATGTAAAAGGTTATGGAAATGGAGTACCTTTGTTGGTACTATTTTCGATGGTGGCTCCTATGATAGTTGTATTATTTACGAGAAATGATAAATATATGGATAAAGATAGATATAAGCACAACATTAAGGGGCTGTTTGGTTGCCTGAAAAAAAAAATGTAGTGTAAAGTAAATGCAATGTAAAGTAAATGTAATGTATTCTGAATACGTTGAGATTGTTTGGTTGTCTGCAAAATAAACGCAGGAGAACTGTTTCCTTTGTTTGGTTAGGTAGATCCCAACGTTTTAAAAGGCGAAATCGGGAATCTAGGCGTTTTGGCTAGGTGAGGCGAGGCGAGGCGGATCGAGGCGTAAGCCTAAAAAATGATAAAAATAAAGTAATTAACAGTGCCAAGCATGTACCGCTCGGTACCGAGCATGAACCGCTCGGAACCGAGCATATACCTCTCGGAACTGAGCGGTACTGGCTCGGTACCGAGCATGTACTGAGCAATATCGAGCATGTACCTAGTGGTACTGGCTTGGTATTGAGCGTGTACCTAGTGGTACCGAGCATGTACCGCTCAGTACCGAGCATATACTTGCTCAGTACCGAGCGGTACTGGCTCGGTACCGAGCATGTACTGAGCGATACAAGCTACTCAATAATTATTATTAATACTATTAATTATATATTTAATAATATATATTTTAATTTATATTAACTAGGCTAATTATATTAATATTTAATTAATAATTATATTACTAATTAGTCAATTAATTTATGAACTAATTATACTATTAAGTATTTAATTAATTTTCTTAATTATTAATATTTAAATTATATTAATTAAGTTAATCAATAATAACTTAGCTGCGTCTAGGGTTTGCCTTTCATCTTCTCTTTTCGTCCTTGTTGTTCGGCTTCGTTGCTTCATAGGAGGTGTAGAGATTACACGCGTCGCTTCTTTGGCTCCTTTGTGGCTGTTCGACTGCGCTCCTTCGATGACTTTCCCTTCCTGTCGGATCATAAGTTACGACATTTTGATAAGAAGAAATAACAGGAGCTCGTTGGCTCGCTAGCTTTGAAGGTAATTTTCTCCCTTTCAAGGCGCTGCCTCGATGCCTCACGTATTGAGGCGTACGCCTCCGTGGAAAAAGGCGTAAGCCTCGCCCGGACGTTCGAGGCTTAAGCCTCTGTTCGCCCGACCTCCGCCTCGATTCGAGGCGCGCCTCGAGGCGTCCGTCTCGAACGCCTTTTTAATCGATGGTAGATCCAGAGTAAAGTAATAGTGATTTTTTTTTTTAATAATTTGAAAGAAACCATGGAAACTCATTCATCCATCTGTTTGTATTTTCATCAAAACGTTACAACAATATATTATATCTACTAAGCAACATTTCTATAAAATCAGAAAAAAATTACTAATTTGACTACATATGGAAGATCTACCAACTTTGTTGCCATCTGTAAGGAAAACAAAAGATACAAAATATCAAACAAGCTCTGATACAAATTAAATACCTCAAGGAGGCAGGCTATCTCTCTCTCTCTCTAATCATAATCAAACAGGCTATCAAACATCAAAAACAACGTAGCCTGAAATGAGCTACCATGAACTTGCATTCTCATACAACAGACTTTGGAGGAACTCTTTATCACAGGACAATTTTTATAAACATCAAGAGAAAAAAAATTAAAGACCTGTACAGATATACATATGAAAGGTCCGATTAAGCCACGACAATAAACTTAAATCTTATCTCCTAGAAACAGCCAGGGCTTTATCTTCAGACTCTTGCCTGGCTTTTGAAACTAGAGAAAATGGAAGCTCTTTAATGGCAGAAACTGGCTCCTTGACTTCAGGTGCAGTGAGCAAAGGCTCTTCCTTCTTGGTCTAGTTGAAGCAATGATCCTTATTTGCAGCTAAGGCCAATAACTCAGACTCTTCTAACCGCTTGGCTGGCCCAAGGCTGGATCTCTCAGTGTTGTGCTTAGCTAATGCATCCTTAAATTTCTTTATCTGCAATGAAATGGCATATTGATTCTGTTAGTACACTTGCCACGTCAGACGGTCATTACGTGGTCCCTTGTAATTTACGGTCTTTTGCATTTCTTGTTTATTGTAACCGTGTAAACAAAGGCTGTTTGTCTATTTAAAGGACTCAGCTAATGTATCCAATGAATTCAAGATTGCTCTTTGTTTTTCTCATCTTTCCTTTCTTCTCTTCCGCATTACTTTTCTTTCAGATTCATATTCAGTAATCAAGCCATCGCAACCAAAAGAAATTAACAGCCAAATGAAATTAAGGGAATGCTTAGTATCCTATTTTAGCCAGTATTAACGCAAGATCTGTTAAATGCCACAATTTACAAAATTAATAAAGCTTTAATTAGATTTCATTATTTTCATATTAAACAATTTACTAAAATTGGATCTACATTGTTTACTAAATCCTACTTGTAGCCAAACAGCCCCTTAATCATTTAAAACAAGAAATCGCATAACAATAACTACAAATAGTCGACATAGGATCAATAAGGAGCATAACTTACAGTGGCATTAGTGCAGCTGAAGCTACGGAGACGACCATTTGCTCCCCTATAGAACCTGAAAAAGGGAAGAACATGGACGTTCAAGCTATAACACATGAACTTAAGCGTCTCATTATTAACTTGTAGAAAGAGTGTTATCTCACCTGTACACGTCAGCCATTGTATGGCTTATTATTTACTTCCTGCCCATATATTCTTTATATATAGCTCTCTATTGTACATACAGACATTAATAATAATATACTCCTTTCTATCTCTGTTATCTGCTTGTTCTCATTTCTCTCTGGTTTCTGCTTCCTCGAGCCGGTCTTCAAAGAGAACATCTGGAGTGCTTTCAGCAAATTGGCATATCTACAATTAAAAAAATAAAAATCATAAACCAAGATGAAAATAAACAATAGAAGTAAAATACATAAATAAAATTAAGCATTTTGTATGACCATAAACCAACCTTTGGATGCAGGGCTCTGCAACCAGCACAATCACGACAGAAGAAATCAACAATAACAAGCTTGTCACCAGCTCCCGACAAGGAATCCACAAGTTCCAATCAGAAGCGTCATCTAAATTTTTTTTCAAATATGACAAAAAAATCAGAAAAAATATTTTCTTTTCTCCAATCGCAAAGAGAAAGAAAAACAATTAGGATATATGAATCGCAGAAATTTCCAAACTACCTGAACAGGAACAGCATGGAGATTTCTATTCGGAAGTTTCCCTTCTGGATCTCGACAAGCAATTTAGATGACAATGCCGAAATTTTCCCCGCCTAAGCCCTAACCCTCCTAACTATTCTCACGACCGGTAGGTTCCAAGAAATCCTACCGCTAAACGCCGGCAATGTCCTCGGCGCCGAGAACCACGTTCCCGCCGGTCAGTGGCTCTCGCTCTTGCAGTATTTCGGGCGAAGGATTTCTAACCCGCTCAATTCGACCGGGTTTCGAAGTCGCACGAAACGGCTCTGTAATACACCGCTCATTCTTCTGAGGAATTCCTTATTTTCCACAAAAAAAACCAACCAAACAGCGTCATTTAGGAAATACGCGTGAGTCAATTACTCTACCCTCCTAATTTTGCATACCAAACAACTCCTAAAAGTCTTCAAATGACATGATTAAATAGAAGTATTTTATGCATTAAAATGATCATGCATATTGTTATAAATATTTTGGATTACTGCAGTTTAGAAATATGATTTATTCACTGAGTTCTTTTATGTCTCACTCCTAAATGAACAAGTATTATTCAAAGCTTAAAATGAGTAGATAAGATGAAAATGTGTATCGTAGGCGAGACACTTCTAGTGAAAGGTACTTATACCTTTTATTTTAAATAATTTTTAGGATTTCGTGGCTCTTTCAAGGTATTGTTGATAGATTTAGCAAATAAAAATTTAATCAACCGTTAGACCGTTTTTTCCTATCTTGTTAATTTGAGCCTCCGAGCCGGATCGTAATAGGGCGGGAGAAAGCGCCTTATAGTTTCCGATAGCTTGAGGAGCAAACCCTGCAATAGATGCCTTGATCTCGACAATAGTTGTCTCTTGATCTTCTCTAAGCTACTCTTTGTCTCCGCTAGATTTTGAAATCTGAAAACAAAACCAAAGTCATAGAAAAAGATAGAGTAATCTATCTTCTTTGATTCATGGGATAAACTAAAGGATCGATCCAACTTACTGCCAAGGTTTAAAATTGCGCAATTGGGTATTGAGATATTTTCTATCTATAAGATGAGGCGTAAGCCTCAAGTCGTTTTGAAGCATAAGCGTCAAAATAAAAAATTATGTAAAATAAAATTATATGTTAATAATTAAATAATATGTTTAAGGATGACATATTGACTGCCAATTGAATTATAAAGTGACAACTGATAAATTACGTGAAATAGAATTGAAATCAAACATCACAAGAGAAAATAGCATAAAATATAGGAATTGCATAAAAATAGCATATAACATCAAGTTCAACTTCAATTTTTTTTTTAGGGTTCCATATATATATATATATATAGGGTGAGTCGAGCCTCATGTCTTAACCAAACTTAGGCACATGCCTAAAAAAAAAGCTTGAGGCATTTTTTGTTGGAAGTGCACTTAGGCGGGTTTCAAGGTGCGCCTCATTTTGGGCAATTTTAAACAATGCTTACTGCTGAGCTTCCGTTCGAAGCCTTGACAAAATTGGGATTGTAAGGTAAGAAGTTCATGACTTGAAAGGAAGATAAATAAGAATTAAGGACTTTGGTGAGTTTTTCATGAAATTGAAACCGGAAGTTGAAGCCAAAAAAATTGTGTTTGGTATTTATTTGTTTTTGGGGAGGTACAGACTAGCTTGCTGGGGAAACATTAATAACATAATATACACTATTAAGTATTAATAATTTATTAAAAAAATAGCTGAATAGCATGCGATGGTGGCTTAGAAGCTAAACAATCTAAATTATTGTAGAGCAATATTTCTTTAATATTATAAATTTGACTTACATATCATATAATTCATCATGCATTCTTCCTAAAAAAAAATTTAATAATATAATTATCCTAATTAAGAATGCAATTATAAAGTAAATCTATGCATACTATTATTAAAAAAACATTTGATATTAAAGCCAAATAGAGTATAATTATTAATCTAGTTGAGATCATCATCAACACTACCATTATCTTTATGCCAATTATTTTGGATTAACATTATGTATCTTTATTTTCATTCAATTTTGTTAAGTGTGATCTCGATTGCCACAACTCCAAAGCTTTAGAGGTCATTCTTCTTGAAAGGAGGGAGCAAAATAAGAGAAGTCCTAATGAGATGTACAACTAAAAGCCTACAACTCAATTTCACACGATGCTACGACAACAATGAAGAAGAAATTACGACGAGGAAAAGCAATTCGTAAATAGACTGTGAAGCTGGTTTTAATTCATAATTAAATAGTTGGATAAATGGTAGTGTAATTATGAATTAAAGAATTATTTATTAGAATAATACTTAAATACTTAATTAGACAACTAAGAATATAATTAGTAATTAAGTAATTAATTATTTAAATAACACCCAAATAAACACTGTAATTAATAATTAAATTGTTAGTTATTAAAATAGCACTTAAATAATTAATTAGATAACTATTATTGATATTTGTCACTAAAAATTTAAATACTTAGTTATTAAAGTAAAATCTAAATAATTAATCACATAGTTAATAGTGTAATAAGTAGTTAGCATTTCAATGATTTAATCACCATAAACCCTAATTTGTGCTGCCAAACATTTTCACAGAATTCAACATTCTTCTTGTCCAAATGTTTTCAGGATTTAACATACTCAGAATTTACTAAATCCTACATTAGTTAAATCCTACTTGTGGTCAAACAGTCCCTAAAGAATACCATTTCATGAACATGAGGCTCCAATTGTTGTAAGGATTGAGTGGGTTGCATGTAGGAAGCATTACCCGACTTTGGAGAGGCAAGCTTATTTTCAGCACACTATACATGGTAGAAGCCCTTTGTGTGAATTAAACAATTCTTAAAATGCCAAGTCTACTATGTTAGGTATCACATGATTATCCCCTGATCAATTTTAGTCCTGCTTGAGCATCATTTTTAAACTCTCTACTGATTTTATGAATTTTTGTATAGCATGAGCTAATATGCTTCAGGGCTGCATTACATAATTTCTTTCCTTTCATGGCTGTTTTTTCCATGTGACCAATGCATGGCATTTTTTAGTATGACGTCTTCTCATTTCTGTGATTTGATGATCTACTAACTATATATTTTTTTTGTTCATTGCAGGTGCTTGATTTTGCAGCATTTCCTGAACTAAAATTTGATTTTCCAATATTTTGTGCCAACTTTTTTACAACATCTACTCTTAGTATTATTGTACTGTAAGTTACACGAAACCGAACTGATATCTCTGGAATGATAGCAATAATATATTTTTGTCAGAAGCATTGAGTTCTGTAGACATGAGAGTTCTTTCATAACTTATTCCAACTCATTCTTATTTACATGCAAATTAACCATTTTTTAGCCTAGTAATTTGAAGCTCAACTTATCTGTGCCATACATTATTTTAGGAGTGCAATCAGGCTAGTCTGACATATTTCCACCCATCAATAGTCTAACCTGCTAAGTTGCATACTTTTCCAATATCTAAATGTGTGATTCAAGCCAAAAAAAAGCGTCTTTTTGTTCCGTTGCAAAACTGCATATCCTATTCAGCCTTGCGATCATCATAGGTGAACTTCAACTCTAATTTCTTATGAAACTGATACTCCAATACTTCTTCCTATTAGTTGAATGCTCGCCTATAATCAGTTTCTCAATCTCATGGTTTTTCATCATATAGCCCTTGTCGTCCCATTATTTTTTCACGGTTACTGCCTCTACTTTTCTAGAAGTTCCAACAGTTAATGAGGTGGAGTAAAAAAAACCTATTTCTTCACATCCCCATATCATCAATTCTATAAGATGCCAACTTTTTTTTTAATAAAATGTGGATTAAGATTTAGAAAATTTTCAAGTGCTGTCAGGTTTTCTTTATGTATAGTGGTTTAATACCATAAATTTGCCATTTCTTGCAATCCTATACAACATGATCAAACCATGAATGTGTAAGTGGATGGATATTTCATAAAAAATTAGAAAGTTGGCTTATCTGCACTTCATATATCCCAACAGGAGGATAATTTGCTGACATATTTATCAAAGGACTCAACAACTCTACATTCAAGAATACTATAAACAAATTTGGAATGATAGATCTCTACCATCTAGTTTAAGGGGGATTGCTGAAGAGCTTCCAGATTAAGGGGCTTGGTGGGAGTGGTATATTAGAAAATTAGAGGCTATGGATTTATTACTTACAAAGAAATACCTCTTTCATGGATTCATATGCAAGATAAAGAGCGCATAGATTGATTGTTGGCATCAATTAGCAACCCCTAAATGGATCAAATGGCTGGTATATAGCTGTTGGGATCATTTATTTTTGAGTATGTTATTGTAAGTATTTATTTTCTTTATTCTTCTATGTAACTTTTTTTATAAAAACTCATTGAAAGAATGAATAACCTAAACTTTTCTAGCCACTTTTCTGCAAAAATGCTTGCGTAAATGTATGCAAGTGTTTTTTCAACTCTATTGTTGTCATTATTTATTGAGGGAGAGTAAATAAGAAGCAAGCATAAAGGACTGAAAAAAAAAAGATAATAGCAATACTACATCTGTAATTATAGAAGAAGTGCTGGCTCAACTAGATTTGTTGAATTGTAATCTTATACCTCATTATTTAGAAAAGTATTGAATGAAATAATGCAAAATATGCCTTGTAAAGCCTTACAAATGCTTGAATCTATAAATCATACTTATCATTGGAACATATTGTATTATAATGCAAGTCTCCTAAAGCCATAATGCATTACACATGGTGTAGCATGTGCTATTTTAAAAATAGTTCTAATTGTAAAAAATTAAAATAATTTATTAATAATTCAACAATGGAAAGTGCAAATATCTTAAAAGGAAAAAATAATTAAATAAAAGTTAATGCATATAAATAAGATATAAAATTGCTTTATGTACATAAAGGTTACTGCATTATAATTACATTGAGAAATATATTTTCATGCCTATGAAAACAGTAACATTTACAAATAAAATTATCATGATGTAGCTATTTGCATAATATTTTGACAAAATGTTCAACTTTACAGCTTAAGCTTAAAACATAAGAACTAGCTTGTTCACGAGTTTCATTTTTACCCAAATTTAGATGAGTCATTCTAAGAATTATTATATTCACAAACCAAAATAACCTTGTGATGAGGACATCGTCAGAGATTTCGACACATGTACCATCAGGAGACGCCGGAGATCAACGGCCACGATCATGAGTTTTATTTTGAGTTATTTTATGTAGTAGTTTATTTGATTTTTATGTTTTTCCGTTTTTGCCCTTATGGGTATTTGGTCGCTATTGTAGCCCAAGGGGCAATTTAGTCTTTTGTTTTCTTTGTCATTTGGAGGCCTATATATGGCCCTTTTCTTATGTAATAGTTTAGTTTTTGATGAAAATGAAAATTATCTTCCTTTGTGTTCTCTTTGTGAGTGCATCCTCTCTCTCAAATCTCTTAGTGAGTTTTGAGAAGAGCTAGATCTCTTTGTGAGTTCTAAAGTTCGCCGTAGTTATTTGGTGGAAATCCGGGTAGAAGATAATTGAGGTTAGTAATTCGTAGTCGCTCGAATCCCTTGAATTTTCCCTCTTTTCTTCCCCTTGCAGCTGCTGCCACCTAGCCCTAAGATCCTTCTTGCTGCCGGCTTCATTGGCCCTCCAGGCCTTTGGCCGCCGCCCTGCACTCTTCCCAGCAGCCGACCCCTCTGCCGACACCAACCGTCCTGTCTGGCAGCCAGGCCGTGAACCTCAACCCACCGTTCCCTGGCATTCTCCCTTTCCCCGGATTCCCCATTGATCCACGTCCAGTGGAATTTCAAAATTCCTGTGATTAATTTATTGCCTAATTAATAACCTCTGTTTAGGCAATACATTTAATGTCATTTAGAGCTATTTGAAATTTGAATTCCATTTCCCTCTCATTTCAAATCTAATTGGGGAAAGTTTCTGAGCCTAACTTGAATAATGGGTCTCATCTTATTTTATTGGAGTCTATTTTAGGAATCACTCATCTAGATTTACATTTTAAAGAGTGTGACTTTCGTGATTGGGCTTATCTCACCACTCCTCGTACCGACTTTAATGTGAGAGAAAGTCTTAGCCCATACTTTCATGTCACAACTTTAACTGTCGTGCCCACTTCTGGTATGGATACCATACCCAATTTCTTAAGTCCCATACCTGCTGGTGACTCGTTTGGCTATCCCATTATGGCTGTGAGTCAGGAGCCATCATCTTACCGTGTTCCTGACTCATTTGCTTTGCCTACTATGTTCTTGTCCCTCCCTGTTAAGGACAATCTCTCTCCTAGTGGGATGAATTTACAAGATGACACAGTTGACCATAGGAGACAACCTACGACCCTAACTGAAGCTTCTTATAGAAGTGTCGTGGTAGCTAAGGATGTCTTCATTGCTCCCCCTAAACCAGTTCCCTTAGACCTGAACACTTTAGATCCCCTCATTTATTGACTCTTCCGCGTTTATTTTTTTTTCCATGTTCTTGTGAGTTCGTATGTTTTGTTGTAGTCTGTTGTCTTCCTAATTTATCTATGTTTAAAACTCTAGTTTGTAAGCTCATTATTCTTGTCATCTATCATGCGCACCGAGTCTCTTGCATCCACATTTGCATCTCATCTTCAAGAATTGCAGAAGGATATTAATAAAAAGAATAACCAAAGCGATGCCAGTTATAAACTTACTACCGATCTCGAGAGACGGTTCAAAGAATTTGATATTAGAGATTTTGTATTGGTTCGGATTCGTCCGGAGCGGTTCCCACAAGGGACCGTTATAAAGTTATATGCTAGAAGCATTGGACCGTTCAAATAAACAACAAAAAGATTTAAATAGTAATGCTTATGTGTTAGACCTTCCTGAAGGTTTTTAACACTAATCTTATATTAACATCGAAGATCTTGTAAGCTTCGAAGGTCCAGAGTGTAACCCTCCTATTCCACGAAATAATGAGCCTTGTGTGAACCCACCTGGTGAGATCCCCAGCCTAACTCCACCCCCAAAATTGCCTAATTTACCCAATACAGAGAAGATTGAGACAATACTGAGTGATGAACTCAAATTTCCACTAGAGATGATGGTCAACAAAGGTATCTAGTTCAGTGGGCAGGGAAACCGGAGACGGAGAACACATGGGTCGATCGTGACGAGCTCCAGCGAGTGGACCCCGACTTACTAGAGTGGTACGAGAGCTCTATAGATGCTTACTCGACGGGGTCGAGTTTTCTCCCACCTGGGGAGAATGATGAGGACATCGTCAGAGATTTCGACGCATGTACCATCAGGAGACGCCGGAGATCAACAGCCACGATCATGAGTTTTATTTTGAGTCATTTTATGTAGTAGTTTATTTGATTTTTATGTTTTTCCGTTTTTGCCCTTATGGGTATTTGGTTGCTATTGTAGCCCAAGGGGCAATTTAGTCTTTCATTTTCTTTGTCATTTGGAGGCCTATATATGGCCATTTTCTTATGTAATAGTTTAGTTTTTGATGAAAATGGAAATTATCTTCCTTTGTGTTCTCTTTGTGAGTGCATCCTCTCTCTCAAATCTCTTAGTGAGTTTTGAGAAGAGTTAGATCTCTTTGTGAGTTCTAAAGTTCTCCGAAGTTATTTGGTGGAAATCCGGGTGGAAGATAATTGAGGTTAGTAATTCGTAGTCGCTCGAATCCCTTGAATTTTCCCTCTTTTCTTCCCCTTGCAGCTGCTGCCACCTAGCCCTAAGATCCTTCCTTCTGCCTGCTTCATTGGCCCTCCAGGCCTTTGGCCGCCGCCCTGCACTCTTCCCAGCAGCCGGCCCCTCTGCCGACACCAACCCTCCTGTCTGGCAGCCAGGCCGTGAACCTCAACCCACCGTTCCGTGGCATTCTCCCTTGCCCCGGATTCCCCATTGATCCACGTCCAGTGGAATTTCAAAATTCCTGTGATTAATTTATTGCCTAATTAATAACCTCTGTTTAAGCAATACATTTAATGTCATTTAGAGCTATTTGAAATTTGAATTCCATTTCCCTCTCATTTCAAATCTAATTGGGGAAGTTACTAATTAAATCTGAAATTATAATTCAGATTTAATTAACTTATTTACTCTCCATGGGCCCTACTGTCACGACCCGGCCCGGCTAGCCCGATTATATCGGGGCGGGAACAGACGATCGTACGGAAGAGCATAAAACATAACATTTTTCATTTAAAAC